TGTTTGCAATAATTGAACCTGGTTTGATGGCCCTTTTTGGTCTCTTAACCATCTGTAATGCAAATCAGATGCGTGCAATTCCTGTAAGAGTTTCGCGTTATCGTCGCACTGAAAAACAACTTGTTCGTATGCTTCTTCTTCAAGTGACCACTCATATTGTTCTCATTTTGCCTTTTTGTGTGATCTTTATCATATCGATTCTACCAATCCCGTTTCGATCTACAATCATGTTCTATTTCCTCTACCAGATCTTCAGAATTCCTGTCAATCTTTCGTATGCCACGCCTTTTTTCTTGTATACCCTTGCTGGTCGAGTATATAGAAATGAACTTGTTCGACTAGTGAATACAATCTTTCAACTTTGTTGTGGTGCCAGAGTTCAAGTGATGCCTAACCGAAACACGGTTACAGCGATAAACACATTACCATCGCATTATTAAAAAGACTTCTCCACACAATTGGTTCATGTAGAATAACATTGAGTTTATTTCTACTTTATTCCATCAAATACAAATTGTTACGGGCATTGTCTTCACAGTATGTTTTTCTTTCTTCTTTCTTTTCCCTTGGATATGATATCTTCTTTTTTTTCGATGTGATATCTTCGATCATATATCATCATTTCTTTCTTTTCGTTAAAACCTTCGATGCGTGTGATTATATATAAATGCGCATTTTTCCTTTTCTTTTTTGGTTCGTTATATAGCTTTGTTGTTATGTGTATGTGAGAGGACATTTTTGATGTAGTAAAAATAAAAGAAAAGGGTCAACCATCTTTTTCCCCTAATACAAATATTTTTAAATACAAATTAAAGTTTGATTTATATGTTAAATTATTCATAAGACCAAACAAAACAAAAAAAGTAAAGGTTAGAGTAATTTAGTAAAATTTCGCGAAATAATTTTCAAAATATGAAAACTCGAAAGTACAAAAACTAAAATATGGAATCTCAGAAGTGTAAGGATGAGAGTGGTTCCGGTTTTGTGAATTACTGGTTGAACGCGAATTATTTTTCAAGATTTTGCTACATAATAAAGGTTAGAAAATGAGAAGAAACAGTTAATCATTCCTTTTTTATTTTTTTCGATTTATTGCACTAAATGCAATAGAAGATTAATCCTAGTTCCTTGCTGAGTGAAGAAAATTCATGTAATTTACTTTGAAAGTTTCTTATCTCGTTCGGATCTAGAATCACATACGATTAGAATCTTCTCTTACACTTAATATGTTGAACTACATTATTCTCCCTATTGTTTCATAGAATTATGTGCTGTTTATATCGTCAAGTGTAACGGAAACAGCACTAAAAATGTTCAGCATAACATCGAATCAAATCGTGATATTTCATGTGAGATCGAGAAGTTGCATTTCTGCCATCTCCCAACCTCGAGTGTCATCCGTATGTATGATCCATAATATTGTCGTGTAACATCCTTTGATATGTACAATCACATATATTCCATTGCTGATGCTCTCACTCGATTTGACATAGTAGACAGAATTTAAACACAAGTGCTCGCGCAGCTCGAATATCAGTGTTCAAGTGTGTCTGTCCATCCTCGTATGTAGATCATTCGACGGACAATGCCAATAGACAAAATGTCCTGAACTAGAATTGTACGTGTGATCTATAGAGAGTATCAGTTCTTTATTGGATATATTTTCTCCAGTGACAATGGCAAAGTTGTATAGAGGAAGTTTAGGATCGAACCAAGCGCTATTCTACATCTCCCACATTGTTTCATTTTTGAAATCGCAAGCAAAAGCTGGAAGGCCATGAACTTGTAGAGAAGAGAATAAAATAAGATAAAAAATTTCTCTTTCGTTTATGCTATTAATATCAATGAAGTTTTTCTTCTTATCTTGAGTATTTGCACGAGATCTCAACCAATCTTTGAAGAAAATTTTCCGATTTTTCTCGAATTTTAGCGTTTGAAGAGCGTTCGATTTCAATTTTGTGAGTCAAAAATGAATTTTAAACAGGTGCTGTTTTTGCTTGAGAGGGTGAGATAATAAGCTTGATAGAACGTCATTAACTTTTGAACGTTTCCTATGATCGAATTGTGGAAAGAGTTTCTTCATATCTTAGAAAAGCGATTTAATGCATAATCTTAAACTTCGATAGATGTATCCATGGAAACAATTTTAAAGATTTCTTATGAAATCTGATTTGTTTCTAATAGAATATAATGTCTGAAGAAAAGGTTAGAAATAAAATGAAAATTTTAGAGTTTAAACAGTAACCAATCGAAAAGAATATAAGAAAATTGAAACTGAAAATAAATGTGATCTGAACTTACTTAGATAAATTTAGAAAGTACTTCATATAAGCGGATTCTATTCATCTTCTTTCCGAAGACAAAACTCTAACTGAATGAGTATTAGTGTCTCTCAGTTATTTAACAAGCAGCTAAGTAAATTCTATTTTGAAACAAATAGTGAATTGATATTGACTACATTAAACACGAATCGACTCTTATTGAGTTTTGAATCTCTTCATATTTTCAATATATCTTTTTTTTAATAGGCTAACTCGCGCTTTTTTATTTCGACTAAAAGAATATCAGTTTAACGCTTCATAGAACAGTATATTTTACTCCTCAAGTAGAGTTATCTAAATCAAGTGCATAATCTGAGATATTTTTGTTTTAGCCATTTTCATAACGAGTTTGAATTGTCTAATATGACCATCATCTCGTTAAAAAACATAATATATATAGTTTAAAGTAGTCCGTTAAGAGAAACTTCATGAAGAAAGCAATAACCCAAGTTATCAGTTATGTACTCGAATTCATCAAGTATTTATGAGGTATATCAATGGATGCAGATGACTCTAATTGATGAGTAAAATATATTGTTATCCCGATGATTGAATAGAGAATGTTTACACGAAAAGCACTATAACCTAGCCTAAGAAAATTGATACATTAAAAATAAAAAAGTATCCTCCTGTAGTTCATTCGTTAGCTTGATTAGTACGAAAAATTTCAATTTTTTTTACTTGAGTTGTCCGTAGTAAATTGTAAATTCGAGGATAATTTTTTAAGAAAAGATATATAAGATGATAGCAAAGATTTTGACAAGCTATATCAAGAACCAAAACGCTCAACAAAGAGTTAGATAAAAGGAAAGAAGATAGGAAAATTAACATAGAAAATTGAAACAATTATATGATAACAATCCAGCCAGAACTTGCAACGGAAAAATGGCATTAAAATGGGCCAAAATTGCAATAAAAATAATGATGTAGAACTGACACAAAAAATGGTTTGATTCATGTGCATAATTTTTGTATTTGTTGAATCATTTTAATAGTTAATACAAAAATGCGTCGCAAGTTTTGACTAGGATCTATGTTGTCTGAATATCAGTCAAGATGAATCATTACTATTGGAAATGTCATTATTTAATTATACAAATGTCTCAGTTGATCATCTCAATTTAGAAAACTACAACAATTATCAATTCAATGAATAAGAATGTATTAGATTGCCTTATTCACCATTAGGTGTTTAATACGAAGTGCTCTTTATTCATATGATGAGTATTCGAAACATTTATCATTAATAGAAAACGTTGATCAATCTCATAATGCAAATACATCAAACAAACATGACCTAGTTCAATGATTAAAACATAGTTGACGATCAATATGTTTCATTGTCATTGATCCAGACTCTGTCAACTCTATGTCAATATGAATTTAAAAATAAACACAAAAAAACTAATACATTATTTCGAATGATTTATTGTAAAACTAATCATTTTCTTAATCTTAAATATAATTCTTATTTATCTTCAAAAATCACATAACAATTATCATTCGAAGATTTAAGTTTTTCTTTGTTTGTATATATATAGATCTTTCAGCATTTGGTTTCGGTTAGTCTAATGACAACAACTTACTAGTCCATGAATTCAGAAAAAAACCTGGTTTGAGAAATAAAACAACAATCAGATAATTCGTTTATATGCCAAAATATTGGCAAGAACAAAACTGAACTATTCACAGTCACCGTTAGTATATATTTTCTTATGAAGATTACCTGTCATCAAAGTTGTAAACGGTCGGTTCGGCAGAGGATTCCTTATCGATCAATAAACATCGGGTTTTTTCTCAGATCAAAAACTTTTTACTAAGTATTTCATTAGCTGACTTTGATATCATGGTATGTTCTGAAGTAACTGACGGGCAAAACTTTTGTAGTAACTTTATTTTCATTCTCATCTTGCACACAAACATTCTATAGATTTTATTCTTCTTGCGTTAGAAAGAGCATAGTCTAAAGTACATATTTATGTATTGTTTCATCTCATATATGCTTTTCTTCTGGATGAAAAAAAAATAAAATAAAAGAGAAGTACTACGATTACATGTTTCAACTTTCTAATGAATATTTTGAAGAAACAAATCCCTCAGTACTTTGCGTTCACGAAATTGTCCAAAAAAAGAGTGTTTATTTTCCTGATTCGCGTCATCGTGTTACCTATGTGAAATCAAAACTTCATGTCAATAACTAACCTTTTTGAACTCTTTTTTGTTTGATACTTCAAACTGTCAGCTGCAAGTCTTATACAGTTCGTTTTTTTTCAATGTAGCGCACATTTGCAGAAAAATACAGAACAAGCACGATATCCGTTACTTTTTCTTCCTTTTCTGTCGTCAGAGTTCGCTATATACGAATAATCAAAGAAAGATAGCACTTGATTTAAATGAAATGAATGCTGAAAATTTAAGTGCCTGGGAATGACAATCGACTAGTTTAATGATATCGAAAATAATTTAAACGATTTTTAGCCTATTTTGAATTGGAAATGGCCATACTTCATGACAAGAATTTGGAACAAGAAGTTAAAATTCTGAAAAAATTAATTGATTACAATCGTTAATCATCTTTAGTTTTTCTTCAAATGTATCTTTTTTTTTTTTTGAAAATTTTATGTGACATTTCGAGACTAAATAAAACTGTTTTAAATAATACCAAAAGAAAAAATGTCTTTACAAATCTTCCACCGTCTTCCAATATTCATCCGAACTAATATCTTCATGAGCCCAATTTTTCTTATCAGCAGGAAATAAAGCATCCATTATCATTTGTGCAATTTTCAAATAAGGCAATTTATCTTTATCTTGTGCACTATCAAATTTTTCTGCATAGATCAATGCTCGTATTGTCTTTAGTACATGTTCATCTGGATGTGTCAAACATTTATCAATGAGAGGTAACCATGGATTTTGTGCATCTGAATATGAATGTTCTTTTGATACTTGATATTCATTGCATAAATAATTTAAATTTAATTTAGGTCGTCCACGTGCAACATAGTAAAGAAGATCAACTGCAAATTTGGCTCTCATCAATTTTAATTGATTTTCTTTATTTTTTAATGAATGAACCAATATGTTTAAGAATAGACTACTTGTTGTTGCATGCATTAGGTAGAAGTCGAGACGAGGAGATTTTTTTGGTCGTATAACAGCTGCATTCACTAAGATACTAGCTCGTCTAGCATCATCTAAATCAGGTTTCCACATTTGAGCATATTCTGCAATTAATGGACCACCACCTCTTTCCAATAATTTATTTGTCTTCGGTCTTTCATCTGTATAAAGAACTTTATCGTCAAAACGTTGATCGTTGACAATCAATTCAATAATGTCTAAGGCTGTTTTATCACCATCTCTAGTCTGATTATAATTCAAATGTTCTAAAAGATCTTTAACACTAACTCGATCAATTGCTGCCATTGCTAAACCTTCAATGGCCATTACTTTCGATTGAAATTCTAAGGCATATCCAAGATGAATAAATGCATGATAAGCACCACCTAATATGAGAACAAGATAATCTTTATTGAATAAATAATCTTCAATTAAATCTTCAATTTTTCCTTGATATTTTTCATTGTTCAATTCTTTTGTAAAGAATTCTAAATAATCATGATAGTAATTATCATCACCTAAACATTTGTTTACGTCGAAATCTTGCTTTTTATGAAGTGGAACTATAGGCTGTTGAATTTTCTTCTGTTTTTCATAGATATGTTCCAATGTATGAGATGAAGCACCAAGACCTAATGCAGCTAAAAGATTATGTGTGGTATGATTGTGAAAACCATTTTGAATATTGAAGAAGATATGATAATTCTCGTGATTCTGTTGAAGAAGATGAGAACAAGTTTCAATTGTTTCAGGAGTTATACCAGGTAACAGATAGATGTCAGGATTTTTAATAAATTCATTAGATGACAGAGTATACATATTTGCTCTGCACGAAAAAAAAAATTGTTCTTTAAAAAATTGATACAAGTGTTTCAAGAAAAAAGAAAGAACTTACAGTGCCAACTATATATATGTATACAAATGAGTGGTACTATCATCATGATGACAATGCATATTTTGTCTCTTCTTCGTATTTCTTTTTATTAGCTACTTATTTTAACCGTTCGTACTTTTCTGCCGTTCGTAAGTACAGGTCATCAAGTATTTATTTTTATCTTTTCTTCGTTCTGTTCTCTTTCTCAACATACGTACTTCTTTATCTTTTTATACAAACAAGATAACTATTGGACCTAAGTGAAATTATATTAAAAAAAAATCGAAACAAAGAAATCTAATTTTTGCTTGAAAATCTACTTAAACTTGACTAAATCTTGCATTCAAGTGTACGAATTAATGTTGAACTTTAATTGTATGATGGCAATCATTATGTTTTCTTTTTGTTGAAAATGAAGAACTAGTTGCATTCAAATCTTGATCTCATCTTGATTATATTCATTTTTTGAAATATCATTCTAGTCGAATTTTTATCATAAGATGTTACAAAAATTGACAACAAGAACAAATGACACTTAGAAGTGAATCAGCTATTGAACCGATTTTAGAAACTATTTTGTCAACAAATCAAAGACATTCTACGTGATGATTATACTATAGGGTGTGGATGTGTAAGTGAAATAATAATCTACGCCCGCAGCCACATCTACATCCTTATCAGTTTTGCCAAGCTTATACAAAGGTTTAAAACGATTATATACTTTTTCATATGTTCAGAAAAGTCATTAGTTCTCCATCTTCTTCACCAGTTAACAATAACTTCGCAGCTTATGTTTCTTGGCTGTTCAGTTGAACTTCCTACACTTGAGATACTCATCAAATTGTAAATAAAATTTCACTTTCAGCTTCATTGAATGTACTCAGTGGCAAAGTATTTGTTTAGAGCAATTTATTAGAGTGTGGGTGTGGGTGTAGATGTAGGATAAGGAAAGAACCACAATAAATCACACACCACAGCCACATCCTCAAACATCGATGTAATTCAATTGAAAGAAACTGCATCTACTTCTCCACTTCATATGGATGTTCCACGTGATTTACTTTCAATTCAAAATGCTTTTTCGGAGACTCTTCATGATTTGAACTTTAAATGAATAATTGTTCATTTTCAATCTTGCGCATGGATTAACTTAAGTCATCAGCAGTTAATCGATCAAAATATGAAGAATATAGCCCAACAAGCAATTATTGACAGACAATGCATTGAACTCGATCTAGAAACTAACAATATCACATCATCAGGCGTTTCAATTCTCGACCATGTATTGTACAATAGCACAAGTATAAAGAGACTGTATCTTTCCGACAATGAAATCGCTGATGAAAGTGTAGAAAAATTGGCGCTGTCACTTGAAAACTCGACTCTCATTGTATAGGGTGTTTCAAAAAATAGAATTACAAATGTTGGTGCGCAGCACCTGGGTGATATGTTTAAGAAAAATCGATATTTGACTGTGCTAGGACTGAAGGACAGCGAAATAAGTGATTGATGAGTCGAACCACTAGCCAATGGGCTTAAATACAACAACAAATTTCAACGATTGTTACTTGCTGAGAACAAGATGATTAGTGACTTGAGTGTCAATACACTAGTCGATATACTCCAGCGTAATCGATCACTGAATAAACTGGACTTACGTGCTTGCGAGCTGTCAAATTCGACAAAAGTGAAACTTCAAACAGTGATGAAAACAAAAAGAATTTTTAACTATTGTATTAGATCAGCCTATTTTGATTCGTTCATTTCTTCTATCATTATACTTACCGAACAAAACATTTCATAATTCCTTAATAAAACTTTTGAAAGTCTATTTAATGTAAAATTGAATTCTGCATTAAACTCTTCACTTTTCTTGCTGGCATCAAGAATATGAGGAAAATGATTTTGAATTTGAGAAAACGAGCATTCTTACTAGCGTAGATAAAATGAACGAAGAAGGGCAAAAATGTGCTTCAACAATGCTATTTCTGTTTGAAAAATTTGATAAATCTATGACGTCTGGTAGAATTGGACTGATTACTCACGCTTAAAAAAGGTTTATTTCCATATAGTTATGGTATGATAATAGCAATGGATACCTCTATAAAATTAGTCGAGCTCCTGTTGTGGAGGACACAAAATAAATACAAAGTTTGCCATCAATCTATAAAAAACTAGTAGTTAAAGTGATTCCATTTTGAAATAGTTGGTTATCTTGATTTGCTTCGATATAAAAGAAGAAGGTCATAGAAATCAATGAAACATTAGTATTTCATAGTCGGATAATATGACATTCTTCTATCATCGGGAATTTTGGTTGCTGCGGACATTAAAGCAGAAACAGGAACCACACTGTTAAATAACTCTAGAGGTCTCTACTTTGATTCATCAACGAACAGTCTTCTCATTGCAAATAATTACACTCACAATATTGTCCGTTGGGTATTAGGGGCTAATACTTGGATACTAGTCACTACTAGTAGTAACGGGTTGATTGGTACTTCATCGACACTACTAAGCTATCCCACAGATGTGATACTAGATTTGAGGGTAACATACATATGTCTGACGAGGGCAATCATTGCATACAATTTTTATTAGCTTTTCAATCAAATAGCACAACGATTGCTAGTGTTATCAGCACATCTGACAGTGCCTCTCAGCTACTCTATACTACTTCTTCAGGCTGTTGACAGTAGATTTAATATGTGTGTAACTGACTACGATAATTATCGAGTAAAGTTTCTACACTACTGAAGAAAAATTCCATGTATATGCATGGAAAAATACGAACTTCAGAAGTGGTGTTTAAACTTTTTCTCTTTCTACATTTATATTTTCATTAATTGCTAGTGATAAGAAGCAAGTTGTTACTTTAGTTTTATTTTCTTAACAAATATAATAAATTTGATGATGCTAGCACCTTTCTTAGAGCGAATATCTGAAGCGTTCTTCGATAAAATTTTCAGAACTAGTTTTATCTCATCCGGAAGTGGGGAAGCTTCATAAGTAGACAAACATCAGAGTAGCAGAAATACAACCGAATTTTCAGGAAATATTGATGATTTTATTTCAATTATCAATCATATTGATTTCTCATATATTATGAAAGATTTTGGATTTGAAGTTGGAGGACGAAGCAGTCCATTTAACAAATGGTTTCAAGATCGGCCAGTGTTAACTCCAGACATTCGCTTGGAAATTCGGTACCGTGACGAATACGAGCCGGTAGATCGGAACCACGCAATAAGCCAAGGTATTTCATGAGTCGCATTTCTTCAAGCCGCTTGGATGGAATCTTCAAATGAAATCTCTCGATATGTTTTTCGAAGCCTGATACAGCTCTCTTGGCTGTTACGCAGTGTTGAAATGAGCATTCAGCACCGTTGATATCCGCTAAGAAAAAAAATAAAAAATGTATATTTGAGTTGTAGCTGTAGCTTAGACTGCAGAGCAGGGTTCAAGATCGAGTCAAATCAAGCTCGGATCAGTTTGGTTTTTAGCAACACATGGTGGACACGAATTGATGATCAAAATTTGATTAAAACTTAGATATATATGCTCATATAATTGAAAAAGATGAGATAAGACTATCTGAAAGAAGTGAAGCTATTTTTTCTAATTCTCAATTTCCAACTTCCTATTATTAACAGAGCTCATTCTTATCCTCAAATTCTCATTCATGTGTATAGTTTTTGTTTGAAAGTTAATTCGAATTTAGCCAAAAATTCACACTCAGTCTGGATATAAACTACATACAAGTTTTCTTGCGAATTTCGTATTGAAACTTATCAAAATACATTCGCGAAATGCATGATGACTTGCATGAATGAGGTTCACATTGCTTTCGTTTCAATTTTAAAGAATCTAAATGCTTTCAAAAATCAGTCTATTCTGTTCTTTGTAAAGTTTTATTACTCACAGACAAGAAGAAAAAGCCAACAAGCGAGACAAACAAAAATCACTTGAACATGCATCTTGGAGTATTTTGGAACCAAAATCAAATTGTATTGATGGAATGAAGAGCTAGAAATAAAAAATACTGCCAAAGAGTGTCTTATGTGAATCTTTCAAGATGTATATATATATATATACGCGCAAATATGATTGAAATAGCACCTATTTTCATTTGATCTTTGTTTCTTGTTCTTCTGTGATTTATATAATGCAATAACCTTCTCCAAGGCCTAGATGCCAATGTCATTCACTCGCTTTTTTACATTCTAATTTGATTGAGCAGATGTGCCAGATCACATGCAAGGACATCACCGGTTAAGACTGGAAATCGACCTTATCTTGAATATCGAAATAAATATGCTAGAAATAGTATCCATATTGATCTGCATACGCCCGTATAGGGTCTGGGTGTGAGTGTGGATGGGTGTCGGTATGGGTGTGGGTTGAAGGAAAAGAACACTCACCTTCACCCACACCCACACACGCCCTTCTATCGTTAATGCCTACAATCGCTATGATTTCGACTTTCGTTACATGCCATAGCACGTATTGTTGATCCTAAAAATGTTATTTTAGGTACACTTTCTGATAAAAAGGAAACACACAGTCAAATTCGATTATTTCCTTTCCACTTTTGTATCGATCAATTCATTCAACTATGTTCATTGACTCTCATTAATGTAAAAGATGAATATTTGAATGAATTTCAAAAACATATCATGCCATTTTCCCTGACGACATCAAGATCACAGTAGCATTGTTATCATCTATCATGTTACACAATGATCTTCGTAAATTCGTATTAAATAAATTTGATAAGATTCTCAATGGAATACAATGACCAATTTTATGTGGACTGGAACATGTGATAATATATTCTGAGTGCCATTGAAATACATCTTATTCTACTCTTGATCATTTTCCTCATCTGCGAACATTGGTACTAAAAAAAAATTAGTCATCTATAAGACTATTGTTATAGATTCTGATATTACACAATCCAGTCACTTAACTTCGCTTTCATTAAATGGCAATTCTAATATAACAATTAACAATGTTGAATCATTCCTTTCGCGTTTACCTAGGCTAACGCATCTTCGATTGATTTGCCAGGTCCCTTTAAATGATCTTTTATTATTTGACAGTTCTCAATGGGAAAATTTCATTCAAACGAAATTGCCTCTACTTAACAAGTTCATAGTCTGGTTTACTCGTTGTGCACCTATTATACAGATTGTACTGCTGTAGAGTCACTGATTTGAGCAAGTCGAACATTTATCAAATGTCACATTTCGATCTCCTGACGCATATGATTTTGCAAATAAGATCATTGGATGGCTCTCACGAATAGAAAGAGATGTTGCATATGAGGTAAACCATTACTCATTATTCGATTATGACGACGATAACCCGAGATCAGTCTTGCCTTTATGCAGATCTGTACTCCACGTCCTGCTTCATATTTTGTTAATCTATATATTACGATTTATTAACTAGGAAATTTTAATTTAAATAAATATAAACAATTTACAAATATCTGATCGATTCGATGTAATTTTAATTTAAAAAGATGCTTTTCTTTTCATTTCATTATACTCCATTAAATTACGTAGTCTATAGTCAGCTGCTATTGATCGAAGACGCTCAAAATTTAAATTAAAAAGGGTGTACGTGGAGTTGCCAGCATCGTTGTGAATATGAGACAAATGCTCATGTCCTTCCTATGCCAGAAAAACGTATCGTGACTAACAGCCATAGCAAGCTTTGTATGTAATAAGTTCTCAATTTATCTATATATATTGTTGTTAAATCTTTTTCTTCTCTAAAATCTATGTCGAGTCCCATGGTGAATCTTTCCTTATTCTTTGTTCTGCGGCCATAATACCTTGGATAATTCTAGCCTACAAACGAATAAGAAAGAATCTCCTACGACTTGTATGACTTGATGTCAATCATTAAGACAGTCTCTCCGTTTGATATTTTACAACGTGATGTAAGTTGAGTATTTATCGTCACGACATTCATCCGCTGATAGAATCATGTTGAAGAGTTCATTAAAGTCTGAGGTATTTCGAACATGTTTATTGTAAATTATAGAACTTCGAAAGATTTGTCTCGCCAAAGAGCAATTTATCATCTATCGTCTATTAAATATGAAAGAGAAAAGGTTTTATATTGATTCGTTGTCTCTTATAATAGTTTGAAACAATTCTTTGCCAAACAGCATAGTGTATGATGAAGAATATGAAATCAAAAATTCTGTATATGTCGAACAACAAATCTATGTGAAAAAGAAATTTATTCAAAATTTCTATTTTACCGACTGCTGTGAAATGATTCTCGATATAAGACTTCAAAAATATTAAATTGTTTTCTAGAAATTCTCAACTTTATTATTGATGATAGAAGTCATAGAAATTTTTTTAACTTGTTTTCAGAAATAGTACACATGAAAATTGTGTAGTTAATTATTTGATCATTCTCTCATAACGACGAATAACTTTTAGCTTTCTACTTATCATTTCTGTGTTCTATCTTTTGTCTCATCTTCGTAATGTACAGAAATAATAAAACCTAAAGATAAGTTACATGAACAAAGTTATAGTGGAATAATATGAATGAAATAATTTGATGAGATTATTATTCATCAACGACGTGTAAGATTGTTTGTTTCATTTCAAAATTTTCATTGAATTTGTTCAGTTTTTTTATTTTTTGAAAATATAAATAATAATTAAACTGAATATAATAATGCATACGAACGGAATTGTTATAGCTAAAATAATTTTCCATTTTTGATTTTTATTCGATGGTTTTAATAACAGTTGAGTGCTTGTCATAGAATTTGATATTGATGATTCTTCTCTTGTGACGACTGTGCTCGATTCACAAGTTAACATCGTTGAAACTGTTTTTGTTATTGTTTTTTCATTAACAGTTGTCATTGGAAGTAAACTTAATGATGTGATTGAATAAAGAGTCGATGATGATGATGATGTCCAATCCGCGTATGGGGAAGTTGTTGTTCCATTTATAAATAATTCACAAAATGAATCAATATTTTCACATTGATTCGTTAACTAGTTGATAATTGAATCATTTCGTATACAATTTGGCTGTTGTTCTGAATCAAATGAATCTTTAAACTTGAAAATAAAGCAATTACATGAATGATCAATATCAATAATTAAAGTTGTTTTATTTAATATATGTGAAATTAATTTAGTTAAACAATAATCATTGTCATTTAATTGAGTTCCATTAAGAATTAAACGTAATTCTGGTGGATAATTCCAATTAATAATTGAATCTTGATTATTAACATATGTTTTTCGATAGATCCAAAAATAGTTCGTATTATTCAGTTGAGAAAGATTCAAATCAGACAATATTTCAAGTTTTGATATGATAAAAACCAATTTATTTTCATTAAATTAGTACAATTAGAAAATGATAGACTTAAAATAGTTGATGGCATTGGATAGAGAAACGAACTTGTTTCATTTTGAATTTCTTGTAAATTCATTTCAATAGATGAAATTGGATTTCCAGCTAAATTTAAATTTCGTATAACCATTCCATTAAAAGCCATTGAATCAATAAATTCGATTTTATTATAACTTAAATCGAGCCATTCAAGTTGACTTACTTGACTAAACATATTAGAATCTAATTTTTTAATTTGATTACAACATGATATAATATTATCTAATTTCGTCATATATTTCAATGAATTAAGATTATCTATTAAATTATTTGATATTCCAAAGAAAGCCAATGAATTATTTAATGGATTTAAAAATGATATTCTTTTATTATCATTTGTTAATGTTTCAAGTGTTGTTAATAAATTTGTATTTAATTCTAATTTAATCAATTTTACTCCAACGAATGAATCGGATTCAATATTTCTTATTCGATTATTAGATAAATCTATTCGCCATAAATTAGCCATATTATTAAAAATATTTTTTGTTATTTCTTCAATTAAATTATTTTTCAAATCAATTTCTTTCATCTCTTGAAAATTCATTAATGAAGGTATTGAAATTAATTTATTCGATGATAAATCCAAATCAAAAATAGTTTGAGAAAGACTTACATTTTTCAATGAACAATTAACCACGGTTAGTTCAGCAGTAAATTCAATATTCGATGATCCATTTGAAATAAATTCCATTTGACCAGAATTGATAATACTCATTTAATAAAATCTTGAACCATCCATTGATTTCAAATTAAATTCATAAGAACGATTATTAATAGAACTATATTGAATACTATCGATAATTACTTCGAAATATCTAATTTGACCAAATGCATAATCAGCAAGTTTGAAATTTCATCTAAACCTGAAATGAATGTGAATTCAATCACCAAATCATTCGAAGGAAATGTTGATATAAAATTAGTAAATGTTGAAGATGTTGATCGTATTAAATTTATAAATGTAAATGAATATCGACGATGATTTACTGAAGCAAATGATGATCAATCGACAAAACTATCGTTTGTATCATTTTTTCCAATACAAGATATATATTCTATTTCATCTTTACAATAACATGTCAATATAGAATTATTAAAACAAACCTTTTCTAATTTTACCAAATTTATAATTGACATTAGTTGAATTAGAAACAAAATTAATTTTAATCTCATCATTTATACAAATATATTTTCATAACGATGAACGTCTTAGGATAGAAACAAACAATTAATTTAATATCTTAACAATTACAAGGCACAAACTATTCTTATCTTTTTATACCAAAATAACTCATTCACTATCATGAGTTCTTAATATAGATAGATAAAAAAAAATCTCTCATCGTCAACAAAACAGACGAAACCAACAAATCTAAACATGTTATCACATGTAAAAAGAATTCAATTTTGACAAACTGAAGGTCAAACAACTTACTAAATACGTTATCGTATTTATTAAAATCTAATACCTATCTACTATCCAATAACTAGATTATTGATAACGTTTATCGGAGACATTCAATCATGTCTTTATGGCCCCATCTCCATTGTGCTCGGAGAAAAGAGTATCACCAGTACCTTTTACTGAGACGACATTTAATGTGTTGATAAAAAGCTTTTCCAGTTGCATTTCTTCCTTTGAGAAAAATTCCAGCTACAAAATTCACGATTTTATCAACAAATAAGAGTTTCGAAAAACAAGTCAAAATATTTTCCCTTAATACTATTTTAACGCAGATTGCAACTTGTTTGTATAAAAAAACCTATTAAAATGCTTGACACAACCGTAAATAGTAAGGCAACATACTTTAATGATCGAAATTTTGAGAGGTTATTTTTCTATCTATATGGTTTCAGTTCTTTTGAATGATCGTGGGAAAAAAAATACTAACTCAATTGAAAAGATCGTTCAAACAAAAATGTTATCCAACAAACATAGATTACTTCAGCTTGTTATATGTTCAATTCTACAATGACTCAACATTTAGGGGTAATGTTTTCTGTCGATATAGTATAAATACTGACTATACGTTTGACGCAGTTCACATCTCCAAAATCAACTTTATAGGAAAGTTATACCTAAAATAAAATCGTTCAGAAAATATTATCGAATATTGTATAGAGCAAAAAAAAATGTTTGAAATCATTTGCCAAAATATTAACGATTATGAATCAATGAATGGTGGAATCGAGTCACATGCATGAGGATCATCAGAGCGAGTTGTCTTGAAACCACATAGTCTTCGACGACATTTGTGATCACATTGACTTCCATCAGCGTACGATTTCGTGTAATGTTTGTAGACAGTACCCATCAGTGGACCATCAATGTCATTCTGTAGTCTCTCAATTAGATTGTCCCAATCTTTTGGGAATAAATTTTCCATTTGATAGGCATCTCGAGCATAATATTCTTCATGCATAATTGTATGATTGTACATGTTCGATGCAGTCAAATTCATAATGACCGTACGATGATCGAGCACCCAATACGAACTTCCTGAATAGTTTCCATCCATTGTATAGATACGATAGCTTGGATTTGAGAATGGTCGAGGACTCAAAGAGGGTGTTATATAAGCCTAAAATTGTAGACAAAAAAACAAACTAGATGATTTGACTTTCGAGACAATACAAACCATTGACACAGGACGTGTTGGATCGATCTCATCGTAGAACATATTAAATTCATCATAATGTGTATGACCATAGAATTGACCGGCAATTGTATTCTCATATCTAATCAAATTATACAAGACAATGTTAAAGAATACGTAGAGCTTCCCACCGATTGATAATTCTATTAAAATTCCAACTGAAGACCGCTAAACAGAAGCGAGGCGGATAATGTGCAATAATATGAACTTTTTCTTCATGATCTTCAGCATATTGTAACCATTGTACCAACTAGAACAAGCTTTAAGTAACATTGCTGTGTTATTTTGTTCGAAAACTTACCCACTGAAGTTGATCAAGTGGATCAGTTCCATTGATAAATAACCAATAGTTGTCCGGTGCACAATAGTTCATGTTGAGTGAAACCAATCGTAGACCGGGACGTATTACTGCTGTATAGAACGCTCCATGCAAAATACTCTCGCGTGTATCAGCAGGTAGACCAAGGTTGATCCACCTATCAGCCAATACTTCGTATAACCACGAAATATTTTCTCGTGGTATTATCGGTGTTGGAAAAAGATTAGAAGGTGCTGTAGATAGTAGAGAAAATAAAAGAAAAAACCATGGACAGACAAAAAGAGTTAGATGATTGTTATACCTGATTCGTGATTGCCTACTGCCGAATAGAAGGTTGTGTTCGGAAAAGTTTTGGCTAACAATTGATTGATAGTATTAATTGTGTAGATTTGATCAGCACGAGATTGATTCCACACATTATGTGGTGGCAGATCTCCAGTGAAGTAGACAAAATCAATATTCTAAAATAGAAATATGCTAGTTACTCGCTAGAAGAATAAGCAAGGTTTCGCCAATAACCTTTTCAGTTGCAGCGATATACTGAACAATAGCTTCAGCCGTCCAATATGGCAAGTCGCAGCCGCGATAATCACCCCTAAACAATATGCACATTATATTATTGTACAATAATTTAAAAAGCTATACCAGAAACCGGCGCCTGCTTGGCCATGAACTAAGAGCAAATATGAAATCTTTAGAATTATGAATGTAAACAAAATACTCACGAGGCTGACCAAACCGACAGCATACTGGTTGATAACATTCCGCTAGAGATCCTGGCTTGTAGCCAAAATCGACATGAATGTCAGATAGATGAAGAACAGTCAATTTAGGCGATTCAGGCTAAAATAGAAAAGATCATCAAGTTGTGTGCACAGTGGTCAAGTTCAACTATTGAGTTTTTGCTCAAATTTGCCAACAGCAAATATCAATGAAAAATCAATCTCAAGTTGCTGTATGGATGAATCCATATATGCCTTCCCAGTCAGCTTCATAAATGATTATATTAGAACCAAAAACGTGAAGTAAGTCTTCATGTTAATCAACGATGACAAAAATAGATGCAAAAAAAAACATATATATATATTTACCGCAGGAGGTTGAGGCGGATGTGGAGGTGGTTTTCGACCGGGTAATGTGATATTCCAACGCAAGATTGGAAAATCAGCTTGGTTCTCGCAATCAAATGCAACTGCACACAATTCTTTATTGTTGAGAGGAGATGTACTAACGACTTCTAAGACGCAATCCTGTTTGATCGATGAGTGCAGAATATCGAGTAATTTGGATAATCAAAAATAGTTTACCCCATATTCATATACAGCTCCGACACAAACATCGACATCGAGAAATCCAAATTCTCTACAAAGATCAAGAGCTAGATGTCGAAGTTCTTCCGTTTTATTGATTTCGATGATTAAACGCATCTGTTGCACAAGAGATTCATTGCAGATATGTAAGAGCTGAGTTCACTCACTTACCACGGGTACAAGTATATCGCAAACTTCACAATACTCGGGAACGTTATATTTAGTTTTGAGTGCCCATCGAAGTGCTTGAAGTTTGAGTGAATGCTCGATACGATGGCGATAGTTGGTAAGAGTGACAGAACGATTGTCATCATCAGTTTTAGGATCATTCACAATTCGATCCATAACATCTTGCTTGACCGAACGGGCATCGGTTCCTCTGTGTGCAGTAAGTAGGATGACCGATACAACGAAGGCTAAGTATACCATAGATAAAGATACTGTGAAGAAGTAGAATGACTTCTGAAAGACAAAAAAACAAAATGAAAAACGCAATTTTTGTCAACATCCATTTTACCTTGTTTTACCTGGCCAAAATATATCTCAAGCTGCCTTATGAATGTGTTATCTCTATGTCGTTAGATATTTATTTTAGCACACTTTACTTTATTAAACAAGGAAGCATATTCACTCTCTGGCAGAAAAATACACAGGCACATGTTTAGATTTTCAAAAAACAAAGGGAAATTTTCCAAAATTCCTATAATGTCCATTTTTGAATGCCCTGAAACCGTCGATTACCTGACTATCGAACGAAGCATGTGCGTGAGTCGTGTTTGACGCTGATAAAATTAGTATGATAAGAACAATAACAAAAAAATGTATTTGACACAAGCATAGATAAGTAGTGTAGAAATCCTTAGGTTATTTGTCTACTGATGTTGTGATGCGGTCAATGGATCAAGACACTCTCATCGACGTGTGAACTTTTCGAGGTCGATGATTTCGTCCTCTAATTCTGGCCGAAATTGGCCGAAAATACCTCCAGAACTTACCGTATCCACCTAGATATTCCAGTAGAAAACGTTTGATAGAAGTCATCAAAATCTGATCCCTATGATCAACTAAAATCTGAGAACTCCGCAAGAATCATGTTCAGACCATCTTCCATGTACAAAAAAAAACGACAGTCAATTAGGTTAGAATCGGTGATTATCTGCTTAAAAATTGCTTATAATAGCACTATCTTAATCTGAAAAAAGTCGATTTGTTAGCATTTAACTTTGATTTCCACTAATTTTTAAAGTCATTTTCTAATCTGCCTAATCGAATAAAAAATGTATCGATTATACCCATGAAATCAAATAATGAGAAATAATTATGAAGGATGTGGATATGGGTGTCGGTGTGGGTGGACATGAGCGTGAATAAACTGTAGATCCATACCCACACCACCCTACTGTTTAATGGACAACCATCATCATGGTTCAATTCATAATTTTCTTGATAGCAAAAAAAAGAGTCACAAAAGTGAACATTTTCTTTTCTTTCTTTCTTTCTTTCTTTCTTTATTTTTTTTTGTTGTTACAGAGTAGTTTTATGCGTTTTATTATATAGGTGTTTCTTTTTTTTTCTTTTATTTTGCATCATCATCAGCATATATGATTGTTGCATTGGCTTGACCATGCTTCGCCTTGTGTGTATCGAATAGACGTGTTAATGCTTCCATGTATAGCTTATGATATTGATCGACAATATCAGGTGTTATTTTATCGTGTTCTAATTTTGGCAAATCAATCGGCTCACCAACATACGTATCAATCGGACGTCGATTAGGTAAAAATCCGATTGCATATTGAAACACACCACGTCCATTAAATAACGGCAAAGAGTAGCCCATTTTTTTTTGTAAATAATTTTGCCATCGTCGAATTTTTGAACCACGTGGATTAGACACTTGTTCATAAAGATCATTTTCCCCGAATGAAAATACAGGTACAAGACTTGCACCATGGATTAGACCAATTTTAACGAAACCTTTACGATTTTTAAGGGTCAAAATGTGTTCATCCGAGGGTCGAGCATCAAGTGCTTCTTTGGCACCACCCAAAACTAACATCAAAGAATTGCCATTGCCTTGCTTTAGAATATAATTGCATGATTCTTTCGATGAATCACATAGACCCAACATCGATAGATAGAGATCGTAGAACGGAAAACGAAAATTTGAACTCAACGTGAGCAAACGAAGATTGATACCGGGAAATTTATTTTCAAAGCCAGTAGCTTCAGTGGAAAAATTACCAAAAGCACCTAATGAAATGATGCCATGTGGATGGCAACCGAATATGTACGAGCGGTCAGGTGGTAAATCGCAAGTTTTGTGTAGTTGAATTGGAAAATACCCTAGAAAAAAATAATAAGAATAATATTCGATTGTGAATTTGTAGCTTCTTCAAAATCGAATGTTTATCATTTTGAACTCCAATAACAAGTAATTCAGATTAACATGCTAACCTTTAAAACAACTATTTGAAAATGTTAAACTTGATCAAAAACCTTCGTTTTAGTAGAAAAAAACTAGAGAATGTTGTATGAATTTTTGTCAGTTGTTTGTTTTCTAAATAAACATTCACAATTATGCCATAACATCAAAAGTACTGGAAGCCATAAAGACATACAGTAGTCACCAAAAGTATTTGGCTAGTCAGAGCTCGGCACCTTATAAAATCAAATTGACTGAAATTTCTTCTATTAATATTACTCAAAGAATGCATGTCAGTAGCTACTCGTATCCTCATTGCTTGAGTGGAACATGAGTTATAGTGGATTATATTTATTTTTACTGTGAAGCTTATAACTCATATAACCCATCATAACTCATTTTCCACTCAAGCAATGAGGGCGCGAATGGCTCCTGACATACATTCATTGAGTAGTATTGGTAACTACTATATGGTACGTTGCTTGAAGACCTACAACTTGTAAAAATACTCTTTTGGCTATGGTTTGGAATGATAGTTTTAATCATAAAAAAAACTCAAAATTTTTCGCGACAACTGGTGACGTCTTCGCGTTCTGATCGTCTGCGGCGAATAAAATGATATTTCTCTTTAGAGTTTTTCCACAATCTTAACTTCTGAAATTTTTGTTCTTTCTTATGAATTAATAAAAAATTTCGGATTGTACCAAATGACATTTTTCTCATCAGCTGATGCGATTTATTGACAAATGTTTTCAGCGTCATGTTTCAATCATGTAATGAAGATATATGTATAACAGTTAAAAATCATACTTAGTTTTATCTGTTAGTATTTTAGAATTCTTGAAAACTTCCACTAAGATTGACATGGAATTTACACTTATTTTTTTTCTATAATTGTTTCAGATCAGAAAGAGAAAGATCATTGCAGAAACAATCAAAAAAAAACATTGGACATACCAGCAAACCATTTCCACCACGGAAGTCGACGAAACCATTGTTGTCTAAGGCCACCTCGTCGCGTAAATTGTCGAAATAAAGCCATCCATATTATATAAGCTATCATGCCATAAAATATATAAGAATTACTCGAACGAAGGCAGAGCAATGATATGTAGAGACAAATCCACGGCAAGAGCCACCAAATGAGAATTGTCAATGTTTGTCGACGACGATACAATGGTGTATTGAGTGGAGCAAACACTCGACGATTCTGACGGATTGGCGACGATGACAACAATTGTGTTGATTCTGTAGCTAGTTTTTCAATAGGGGACTGAATTTCTTCAGGTTTACATGCAGAATTTGTAGAATGTATCGGCTGATATGGTACTTCTTCTGTCATCGTTATTCGCACACTATACGATATCACGTATTGCACAAGCTCTACTTCACTATATATATCTTTTTATCAAGAGAGGGCAAAAAAATGTTTGGTAATCTTTTCTTCTTATAACTACCTGAAAATGATGTCTTTGGACTACAATTCAAAGTTTGTCTGACGAGCTACATAAGCGATTTGAATCATATGAAATAAACTTTGAAGCCTGGTAATATAACGCAAGATAAAAGAAAAAAAAAGTCATAAAGAGGTTACTCTTTCTTTTTATTATGCCTTTTTTTTCTTTCTGTTGATACCTACACCATCGTCACTGTGTTTTTTTCTTTTGCCACATACACAATAACAGCGCACGAAAAGTACAGACTGTGAGAAGAATACTATACACGCCATAAGCATTGCCACACATAAAAGCAATCTTTTTCATGAAGGATGAAGACTAAAATTTTGCTAATGAATAAAGTATCATATATGGGGATAGGTATAGGTAATGATGCACTGTAAAAAAAAAATAAAGGTAGAATAATTAATGGAAAAGGATATTTGAAAGTACAACCAAATACATACCCTTGTTTTTAGAGTAGATGAGTGGCAAATACCCTTTCACAAGCTCTTCAAAGGTTTATGAAAGGCTATTTGACATTCATCTACTCTTAAAAAAAAGGTATGTATTTCGATGCACTTTCAAGTAACCTTTTTCATTTATCATATTATCCTTACTATTTTACAATGCAGTCTTTTGTCCATTTTCTATTTGAACATCTTTCGTCCAATGACTATGGCGTCCTTCTTTTCTCAATCTCTGCCCTAGTAATTGATCATTGATATCAAAGTAGTCTTGTATCACATGAATTCTTGTTTCCACTTACAGCATCGAAAAGTAAAGTGTACGACAAAAATTTACACCACATTGTTTTTTGCCGGTTTTTTTAAACATTAAACTTTTGTCATTTGTTTTTTGAAAATTACAAGATAGAAACCTGATTCGAACGGCGATATAAATAGCTGTGTATGAGTGCCATACACAATTATTATTAATTTATACATAATGTTATTACTTATAATATTATAAAGAATATATTTTTTTTCTTTTTCTTTTGTTGTTTTGTATTGTAATATGTGTTTGAATGTTCCTGGTATTCGATTGAAAATTCCCATTTAAATAACATTTTTCATTAAAAAACTTCTACATTTGCTTTATTTATTAGAGATATAGATGGCATAAACAACCGGCTACAAGATGTATCGAGTGAGCAGAGTCTCTCTATCAAAATCGATTTTCAGAAATGGCAATAGTTTTTCCGAACGAAACTAGTTCTTTTTTGCTTTTTCTTATTTCGTGTTTACTAATCAAGAAACAAACTTTCTCGAAAGAAAATAAAACATACATAGGAGAATCGAGAATTTCATAGTTTATCTATTTATAAAAAGATTTCGTCCTTAGAGTCGATCTTCACTCTGTAAATCAGATTTTAGTGAGCTCGACCGAAAAAAAAACCAAAAAAAGAGCAATTTACTCCTTCAAACTAAAACATATCCAAATGTATTATATATCAAAAGAAGCAGCGTGAAAAACTGAACGCTTTGGTGTATTTGAAGTTCGAATATCATCAGTTTTCAGGTTTGTTTTTTTGCAAAAGAATGTTTTGGAGAAGACGGTTGATTTTTAGGATTTCCATTTTTTTCGACTTACGAGGAAACATTCTAAGAATGTCCGATGCTGATAGAGCTCATATTAGGTCCACAAGTAGATCTCAATAAGACAAGCAAAAGCTTAAAAGAATTAATCTCCATGGACCTTTGGGCCTGAGTTATGACCGTTTTATTGGATTTTCAACCTGTTCTAAGATACTCCCGAAGAGTGTGGGTGTGGATGAAGAGGTATAGCACGCCCACATCCATACCGGTCAATGATACAGTATCTACTGGAACACTCAGTGGAATATTGAGGTACTGATTCTATCAAAATATGCATCTTTGGTGATTTTATTTACAGTCATCAATGAAAAAATAGTAAAGTGAGCACTCCGATCTTTGTCAAAGATATCGTAAATTTGGACAATTTATTATTTTAAATAATAAAGCCAATTTGATAGGGGTGCATCACGTATAATTCTACTTTTAAGACATAACTACCATCTTCCAATTTAGAATCTTCCAATCATATACTCATTTTCTTTCGTTATTTTGACATATTTTGTGCAACTACTCTTTCTGCCTGAAGTGTTCAAGAGTAATATAAAGTTTGAAAATCTGGAACGTATTTTCTAGTTTAGATCGCAATGATGTGTAAATTCATAAATTGTTATTATGAATATATAACTTTGTCAGAGTCGTCTCAAGAAAAATGAGAGTTTCTGAAAGTTTATTTAATCACTGTGACATCTTATAACATGAATGATTTGTGTTATTTAGCCCAGGAATCTATTTTAACATTCAGTTTGAAGCGTATTTTTAATTTTATTTTTTAAAAGCTTGATGTTATACAAAATGACGACATATACTTTTCAAATAAAATTGATATTTTTTATTTTGGAAATATGATTAAAAAATCTGGAATATCAAAAAGACAACTTGATTATTATGTTTTTTTTTCTCTTGCGTCCTCTATTATACTTTTTGTAAGATAGCTACCCGAAAAAAATAATGAAGAATAGTAGAGAAAAATTCTACCGTGCTCTGTGAAAGCGCTCATCTTGACTCTTTGCATGAGTAATTTCTATTTTGTTGCTTGTATAAGTAAAAGAGAAGGAAGAAGAATAGAAGTATCAATGATATTTGACCGTGCAAACATGTTGCTTTATTTTATTATATAAATTGAGCTTAATTCTCTCAAAAACACATTCTGTTCAATTTGACAGCTTTCGCAGCGATAATTCGAGTATAAGTCAGTGGTCGGCCTGAGTTACTGCCCACCAGATTAAAGTTGTTGACCTAGTTTTTACTTTTTTTTTTTGGAAATTCAATGTTGATATATTATCTTATTATCGATTAGTACTTTGAAAACCCATTCGAATCTAAAAACAAATGCCTAAATCGAACATTACTCTAACGTCCTACGATTTAAATTGACTGACAGAAGAACTTGTTTATATAAAATGTGGAATTTATATATGCTCTTTAATTTCACTGGAATCGAATTTGTCCTATATTTTGTCAAAAAAAGTTGGAAATATCCGAAAATTTGTGATCTTCGTCGTTTGACACAACTTTGCCCGGCATTTGGCTTAGCCTGGAAGGAGGAATAGAGAGACATTCGCCGCGCTACCTTTTCATGACAAAGGAGAATATACTGAATGATCAGATACGTTTTGAAATTTTTTATTGCTCTTCGATGTATGCATACGTATTTATGCATTTGTAAAGCATATCAATAAATATTGGTCGCATAAATGAATTATTTTTATTATTCAGATTTAACTATGAAAAAAGTATTTGGTAATACGCGAATAAAATATATACTCTAATTGAACTTTCAACGATAATTGAATCAAATTTTTATTTTGGCAGAAAAAAAATGAGACAGGCATCCTGATAATGCTACAGTCGTTCATGCTAACTCACTTAAGAGGATATCTCAAACGGCGAAATTAACAAAACCAGCCTTTTGAGTGGAAATGATGTATAAAAAAGTCCTATATTTTTGTCATTTCTTAGTGAAAATCTTATAATTTAGAAAACTAAAATCCTATATGAATTCCTATATTTTCAAAAACTCGTAATCCGAGGCTAAGCTTTATTATTGTAGTAGAAAATACAGAAAGTTTAAAATAAACAATTATTTGATTTTCTTTTTCTGACAGGCGCCCTATTTTTCGTGTATTCAATTATATGGCTAATGAGACTACTATATACATCCATTATTGAATCCTAGTTATTCAGTTCTGTAATTGGGGAAAGAGGAACGTTACTATGGTTTCTAATGCGGGCTGTTTGTAATGGAGGGAGGAGACTGCCAAATTTTGGCTTAAAACATACACTCACTATTTACTTCGAAAATATATGTCAGTTTGACAAAAGAATTCCAGTATCATTGAAATTATAAAAGCTGATCAAGTTACTATAAAAATTCGTAAGTATTAAAAGTAATAAAAAGTAAATGTAATGTAGCACTCCTAGTGAATACCAGTGTAGGTTTATAGAAGGCACGCAGTTGTATCCGCACTATATTAAGCGTCTTAAGTTGATTCGCGAATGTGTGTGACAAAGAATAATAGTATTTCTTCTTCTCTTTATTGCTCACCTTGATATTTATAAGTTATGTATTGTTATTTGAGATAAGAAATAGTCACGAGATGGTTGGTCAGGTAATGATAAAGATATTGTAGGAAATGTGATTCAAGGAAGTATCGCTTTTCTTTTCTTATTCCTTTCAACTTTACACAAATCGTGTCGAACCTGCTTCTCCTAATGCTTATCCGGATTCAACCTCTGTTCAAGAACGACGGATAAATTCATCGTTGACTGGATCTCGACATTCAATTAGTGAGTCGATTGACGAAGTCGATTCTAGTATAAATGTCGTACAACTCAATGGAAAGAATACCCTGAAGCGGCATCTTAGTCTATTTTCTGGAGTTTCATTCAATCTTTAGAAAAGACAGATTCAACAGCAGCTTTATTCTCTTCTGTTCGAACTACAACTAGTCGACCTGATCTCTTCTTCTCTGCAGTGGTACCACTTTCTTCAAATCACTTGACAATATCGCCAACTGTTTTACGAGTGGTTTGACGATTAAATCTTTTGGAGAAACGACGACATGTTTTGCTCTTGTTATTTGTTTCATAGAAAGTTTTTACTAAGAAGACTTTTTGTTCTGTAGTGAGTTTATGTTCAATACCTTCAGTCATCAGTGGATATAACACAAGTGGACACGTTATTAGTTAGATAAATTGCACTTTTCGAACAAATGAAAGAATGAATGATCGGTTTATGGAGAAAAAAAGCAATTATAGTACTAACAACAACAGACAAGGAAAAAATTATCTTGGCCTTCTTCTTTGATAGAAGACAAAACAAAAAGTGTCCTTAAATGAACCGAAGACATTAAGCGACTATGTACATATCCTTAATTCAACAGAAAAGAGAATAAGTGTGTTGCGGAAAGACACAATTGAAAAATCAACAAAGAAAAAGAGGAAATAGGAGAGAAAAGATGACGTCACATAGCGTTATGTGTATGATGAAAGAGAAAAATCGTCAATCTCTTATTATGTAATTGTATCACTGTAATTAAAAAAACACCAGATGAAGCACGTAGAAGTTTTACGTAAAAAAGATAAATGCTATTCTCCATCGAAGGATATCAAATGACTTTAAGATCTCGCCATGCTATATAATCTGTACAGAGCTACTACTATTTTTTCGAATACGAATGGATGGATGATTATTTTATAAACAATTGATATTCTGAATAATAAATAGAACTATGCAGTGAAACAGTCTCTTTCAAATGATGAAACCCCGAGCTCTCTAACATGTTTCTATTGAAAGTTATTCAAAATCAAAAAGTATCGGAGGATTTATGGACCACCCTGTGCAGACTAAAAGGATTTATTTTTGTCAAACATCTCACAAATTTCTAATTTACTTTGTTTTTCATTATATTTCTTTATTTTCTTTCATCAGAAAATAGAAAATATTCTATATTATAAACAACATCAGATTGTAAATCTTTTCTGTTTCACTGCTTTTGTTGAAGAAGACAACGCATAATTGTAATCTAACGATAATATAAAATATATTCGACATATAACAAATAATTTTTATCAACTGTTTCATCTAATGAAATTAAGTTCTATAATATTTATATATGACAAAGTTTATTATGATTATCAAAGTTTTTTTAATATGATTTATTTTTGATACATTAAGAAAAAATTCATTTAAATATGTTATTTCATTGATTAATTCTAGAGTAAGAAATAATTAAATTTAATAAGTTTTTCAAAAATAAAAAATAAAAATTGATTAGAGTCGTTTACGTATGTTTTCTAACAAAGAATCAAGTTTCTTTGCATCTTTGCCGAGAAGATCACTAAGACGTTTACGTGCTTTTTGTACAATACCATGCCACATTGATGAAAATGAAGCAAAACGTGTTTCAAGTACGACAACAATAATAGCTGTAACCAATACTTGATCATTTATTGTTTGTTGAAAATCAGTCAATGCTTTTCCTGTTAACTGTTTAATACTTTTCGAGTCCAAATCCCAAGAACCATCGAACTTTTGTTTGTCAATCAAATGACGAACAATATCTTGATTGTCTGTAGGCCATGAGTCGTCTTTTGTTCTTACATTGCTGTTAACTTGATTTAGTGTAGAAGATGTAAAGAATTCATCCATCATATTCGACATATATTGATCTACACTATTGCCATAATCACATTCTAACTTATTGTCGTCACAAAGCATGTCACAGCCCATGTCCGAAGATGACAACATCATTGAAGCATTAGCATCCAAACCAGAAGGATCAAACGAGTGTGCAGACATCGGCATAGACATTGCAAAACAATCAACCAGCAGACTTGTATTAGCTGAAGCAGCAAAGTATCCACTACTTTGCAGATGTTGATCATCAGCCGATATTTGAATAGGTACTTCGCGCAAAACCATATTATCATTATTTGCATTAATTCGTTTCTCAATACCTACAAAAGCTGTATGTGGACTAAGAATATTATATTTTAGTGATAGTTCGATGATGCGTTTTTTGATTGTCTCCTTGTTCATTTCATCTTTGTCATTCGATGTTGTAATCTGTTGATGCATTTGAAAACGACTTTGTTTTGAACCAGTGACATTCGTGTTAGTTACTGATGGTAATTTTGAATGTTGTAATTCGAAAATGAGTGCCTTAGCGGCTAATCTAGCAATCATATCATTGTTGCTTACATTTGGTAATCGAGTGATTTTGGCTTCACCTAGTCGATGCTGTTGTTCAGTTTTTAATTCTACAGTTGAATTATGATCAAATAATGTCGATTTATCTTCTAAAAGAGCATAGACTATAAGACGATCATTGACATAGACCGGTGGTATCTTTGTTGGAACACTTGTCGCAATCAATGCACCTAAATTCCAATTAACATGAATATTTGTAATGCATGATTGTAATGCCTTTTGTAATTGTTCTCCAACATGTACATCAACACTTGTGTTAGGTGGAATAAAGACAAAGCGACCATTTGTTGCTCGAGCTAAGCCTTTGACAAGAGAACGACTTGGAGAATGACCTAAACCGAATGAAAAGATACGAGCTGAAGTCACCATTGCACGGCATAAATCGAGTACTTCGTCGACATTCGAAATTTCACCATCGGTAAGAAGGAATATCTGACGAGCACGACCTTGACTTGGTGGATTTTGTTGAAGCCATTGTAATGGATGCAACTAAATCAAACAATTAATTATAATAAGTTATCGAATCAAAAGAAAAAAAAATTAACCTACTATTTCAGTACCACCTAAATCTGCTTTCATATTCTTTGTTAATTCATCTGCTTGTCGAGCATTTTCTTCATTATAAATATCAGTAATGTTTTGAAATAAAGCTTTATAATTCGATCCAAATCGAATAATATTAAAACGACAATTAACAGGAAGACTTTTAAGAAAAAGTAACATGGCTTGACGAGCCAATCCAATTTTATTTTCATCTTGCATTGATCCACTACAATCAACAACAAAAATAAATTCATTTGTAATTTCATCATTATTCATAATAGCTTGACAATCTTCTTCCTTAGGTGTAAATGAAGCCATTATTGCACCAGGTTCAACAGCTACAATTGTATTTGATCGTTTTTCAGTCAATTCAATATCCAAGAGAATATCTCGATCTAAATGAGTATTTTGTTGAGCAAATTTTATTACATAGAAATCTTGTTGACCGAATTCTACTTCAATCGGATGAGATGTTGAACTAATACGAGAAATTTCCTTTTTTTCAACTTGACATCGAAAGTCGATAGTATAGGGACTCGACTGGACATATTTAGATGTTGTACCACTCGGTGAACTTATACCACCTTTATCAGGATTGTAACGAGGTGCAATAGTTGTTGGAACAACAAAACGAATTTTAGTTCCATTTTCCACAAGATCTAATTCAGTAACATAAGAAATAATAATTTGACATTCTTTACCAGATGGAAGAGCACCCACATTGATTATAAAGTTATCTTGGGATTTTTCATCTTGTTCGAGCAAATAGGCTCCGTGACCTTGTTGAAGAGCTTCACTATATTCTTTTTGAGCCGTTTTTTTCTCTTTTAATTGAGCAACAATCTCTCGATCATCAATACGTGCAACGAAACCATAAACAGCTGCTTGTTCTTCAATTGGAAAACAGTATACAGCTTCAATTGATGTTTTTTCATCATTTCGAAACACTTGTGTAATTGTAACATCAGCGGCAAATGACTGAATAGTAGTATCAATATTCACTTTTTTAAGAGGTACATATTGTTCTTCTGCTTGTTGGACGTTTGTCTGTGTATCTTGTATTATTCGAAGCATATTGATGAAATGAATGTGTGCTTTATCTAGTATAACACTCCTTTATATGTTACGCTCTCTAGTTAAAAGAAAGACATGACTATGTTATGAGTAAATATTTTTTGTGTATGGTAAAAGAAGAAAGGAAGAATAAAAAACTATTCTGAAGAACAACACGCAACTCTTACTCATCGATAAAAAAACAATATGACAGAATGGTTAAAAAACGCAAGAGAAAATATGACTTGCACAACAATAATAAAAGTATGAATAAAAATAGAAAATTTTCTATGACAAATAGGTTTTATCCTTTTTTTAATGAATGAATAACTAAACAAATAATAAATGTCCAAGGAATTTAATAGAAGAAAAAACTTGTTAAACAGTCTATACAAGAGACTGTAAATTATATAAGTTGAAAATATAACATTTGAGACGATATTCCATTCGTTCTTTTTCTCACACATCTAACTATACAATATATTTTACAAAAAGAACCATCTCATCTTGAAAGAATTGACAATATCTACAAAGACGAAAGATAACATGAAAAGTGATGCAAATTATAAGAAAATAGATTTATGTACAGTAGTGGCGTAACCACACTGGGGCCAGCTGGGGCTCAACCTTATCAAAAAGGTCCTGAGCACCATCACCACCAAAATCCTGGTTACACCGCTGATACACAGGTTACATGAATATAATGATAAAGCTAGGCGATTTCGTTCTCTGTTGTTCTCACGTCAATGTCATTAAGATGATAGTAATGTATTGCCACTTGTTTCACTAAACATTGCGCTGTCTTATCTAAAGATGCCAAAATACGCAGAGACGTAGCAGCATTGGGTGGCTCATGCACTTTCTCGGACAAATGATATAATGTGGCTGCAAGTTTCATTGCTGCAAATACTTCCTGGTCATTTGAATTTACTTCTATTAAACATTTTTCTAAGATTGCCTCAAATACAGATTTGAAATGGGTCATGGTTTGTTGATTCACATCAGAAATTTTACCCTGACATACATTCATACAGTAGAGTATCTTGATTGGTAGGTCCCAGATACCGTTTGCAGATACAAAGCCAGTGATAGAACCGTCGAGAGCTTTTGAAAATGTTGGATCTATTTTATAAGTTGACTCCAGTTTCTTATGGTAGTCCTTTGAGAATCTCTAATGATGAGAATAAAGGAAAGCCTTTAATTTATGTTAACAATACTAAGTTGTTACCTTATATTCCTTGCCCACTGCAAGTAGCTTTATGCTTTTGAAGAAATACTCCAGAATTCCACGTGAGGTCAATGTAGCTGATGAACGAAGCTCCATTTGACGGGTCCAGCCTAAGTTTTCTTCATGTGAGTCGACAAGTTTTTGAAGTGTTTTAATTTGTTCTCGTAAATCACTTTCTGTCGATTGACTTTTCTCGATAGATTCAATTAATAGGTTGCGTATCGGTTCATCCTTAAGGGCTCTAAATATTATTGCCGCGGATTCAGACAAAGATTGTTCTGAGACATTGGTATAATATCTCGCCAACGAATTTTTCGGTAATCTAACATAATTGCGCTGCAGAAAAGGCAACATTCAATATAATGATAAAACCTGAAAGCAAGCGGTGATAGTGTTAAGAATCAGTTACAAGAACTATATATATTGTTTACTTTTCCTAGAAGAATTTATCGTTTTTTTATATCTCCTAAGAACTATAGATTTTTACAAAGACAGATCGAGAGTACAGCACATCAACATTTCTCTTATGAATGTAAAGTATAAACACTTTTTCATAAATAATAAAAACATTAGTTCATTCAGTATAAAGACGATAAAAATGTTCAAATTTCCCTTAGATGAAATCACTTTTACGCCATTCTAAGAATGAAAAATACTATGAAAACTGGACCGAAAGTATCAACAGACGGAAAGGAAGACTAAAAAGAATACTATTTTAAAGAAACTGAAGCAAAATGCATTAACTGGTATAAAGCTTCGTCAACTCACAAAAATAGAACTTTGTCAGATCGGAAACATGTTCTTCAGATGATAATATAACGAATTCAAAAAAAGTAATTTAAATCAGAATATTTCCTATACTGAATAATTCTGGAGAGGTTATGGTCGATGCAGACATATACCACGCCGTCATGAAAGGTCGAAACAATAAAATCCGTAAAGTGTCTTCCTTTTTTCCATTTAAAATTTGCACGTGAAATATATAATATTCATCGATGTGAAGCTAGCACGACGACCAATCAGGATCGATCTTCCACTCGACCAATCAGCACTAGAGCATAATTTATCATCCCTACTCCATATATTACCACTGAAAACTTCCTTAGCAACCAAATGTTTTTTCATAAAAATCGACGAAATCCGATGCTCTCTTCAAAATATATCATTCAAACTTTATAAAAAAAACAAAACTCTCATCAACTCCAACCAAAAAAAAAAATTACGAACATCAGCTAAAGCCCCCCCCAAAATAGACGGCCACCCTATATTAGAAGGCCACCCCCTGTATAAGGCCATGTCCGAGCAAAAGTTCAAACGCTCTATTAGAAGGCCATGTACTAATTAATTAATATATTCCAAAATTATCGAAATTTTCATAAATATTAATTAATAATTAAGGAAATATAACCGATTTTCTAATGTTTTTTTGGGAAATCCTTCCTTTCCTATCATAAATAGTACAGTTTTTACAAAAAATGGTAGTTTTTTCAGCAAAAAACACCTAAAAAGCAATAATTAAAGTTATTAATTAATTATTAATTTTTTAAATGATTTTAATTAAAAACTGGCCAAAAATTGACTCCCAATAGAAGGCCATCCAAAAAGTAGCGATGTGCCAAGACACTGTATAAGGGCATGCCCTTTTATTCTGGGAGGGGGTTTACAGGGATCCATTCATGTGAAACTACCACGACCAATTTTTAAAAACCCTTAAATTTTTCACGTAACCATCCATTGCCCGAAGATACGCAAAACATCATTTTGTAGAGAATTTAATTCTGCATCGAATGATGTATAGCTTATATTAAGAATCCATTTCCATCGCGGTGATATCTTCTCAATTATGACATGAGCCATAAAAAAATTTTAATAAAATTTATTTGCTGAGAAACGATCCATTGCCCGACGATGAGTTGTAAATCAACTTGTAGAGAATTTAATTCTCTATCGATTGATGTACAACTCATCTTTAGAATCCATTTTTATATGCGTCATCCGTCCTCAAATATGAGTCAAATCAGCAGAAAAACGAAAAACAAATTTAAAACAAAGAAAATTTTATCAAAATGATCCATTGCCTGAGAATGAGTTGTACATCAACTTGTAGAGAAATTAATTCTGCATCGAATGATGCACGGCTTATATTAAGAATCCATTTCCATCGGGGTGATATCCCCTCAATTATGACATGTGTCAGAAAAAAATTGAGAAAAAATTTGAATGAAATTTATTTCCTGAAGAAACAACCCATTGCCCAAAGGTAAGCTATGCATCAATTTGTAGAGAATTTAATTCTGCATCGAACGGTGTATAGCTTATATTAAGAATCCATTTCCATCGGGGTGATATCCTCTCATTTATGATATGAGACATAAAGAAATTGCAAAAAAATATTAAAAAAATTTAATTGCTGATGATACCATCCATTGCCCGAAGATAAGCAATAGATCATTTTGTAGAGAATTTAATTCTGCATCGAATGATGTAAAGCTCAAATCCAGATTCCATCTCCATCAGAATGATACCCTGTGAATTATGACATTTCTCATAAAAAAATTGAAAAAAATTTTGAAAAAAAAAATTAATTTTTTAAGAAACGATACATTGCCCGAAGATAAGCTATACATCATCTTGTAGAGAATTTAATTCTACATCGGTTGATGTATAGCTATAATTATTTCGGAAGAATTTTTTTTATTTACTGGAAAGACGAATTTTTATCAGTATGTGTTTCGTTTTATTTTATACACTCTAAAAAATCAAGACGTAAGAAGTGTATATACAAGACAATCCATCTGCTTATGCAAGACACTTTGAGCTGATTCTGATTGGTTAATACATATCGAATTTAGACACTTCAAGTGTCAACGGATAACAATTTTTAGACACTCGAGCGTCTTACTCTCTTCTGGTTGGTTCTTCTGTACGAATTAGAGAAGTGTCTTACATATATCTTTCTTAGACGCTTTAGCTGATCAACGAGCTACTAATTCTAGAAATGATTACATTTCGATATGAATAGTGCACAATAAAAAAACATTTTCGATAAAATAAGTATTTTTGCATTAATTTTTTTTCAAATTTAACATCACATTTTTTAAAAAGAATTTGAAATTTTTTTCAATTCTATTTGATAAGATGTTAAGTTGAATTCGAAAAAAACATGAGAAAAGTAATTATTTTATCGAAAATATTTTTATTACGCACTATTCATATCGAAATGTAATCATTTCTAGAATTAGTTGCTCGTTGAGCAGCTGAAGTATTGATGAGCAATATCGAAGTTGTTTAAAATGTTTTCGGCGCCTAGGTATTCGGAATATTAATATAATCTAGAAAAAATAAATATAGTATAGTAAGGTGAATCGACAGCCTGAAATAAAATGAGTAATATAAGCGTATATATTTATTCATATCGAAAAACTGCAAATCTTCCACAAGTTTAAAAAACAATACTTACGAATTCTAATAGACATACTAAATAACTTGACCTAATCTCTTTAAATACTTTATTTTTCAATTATATCATTAAATTCCCAATCATTAAGTGTTGATCAAATGCATTGTTATGAATAACAAAATTAAGTTGTTCATAAAAACATAAAAATACTAATTTTTAAATACGTTGAAGTTATTAATATCTTGGTTAACACTTTCATTTACAATCAATTTAATCTCATTTATCTATATAATCTCATCTACCTATATAACAACATGTAAACTGAAGATTAAAGGTAAAGTAACACTTACATATTTCTGCTATTTATTAGAGTATTAAACAATAACACAATTAAAAATAACCATTTTCTACTTTTTTAATCGTCAATCACAGTAACCCATGTAAAAAAAACAACTCAAAATTAAATTAAAATCGATTATTTCGGATTAATAATCTACTATAATGGCACTATTCTAATTTGATTAAAATCAGATTTTTCAGCGTTAAAAGAAAAAATAATTTTGATTTTAATCTTGTTTTAATCTATTTTAATCGATTAAAAAAAATTGACAATCAGTTTTAATGGATTAAAATAGATTAGAAAAGATTAAAATCAAAATACTTTTTTCTTTTAATGCTGAAAAATCTGATTTTAATCAGAATAAAATAGTGTCATTATCATAGATTATAATCTGATTTTTAGGCGTCTTTTTTTTTTATTACATGGGAACATTTGAAAATACCACAGCAGCTGTAGAATGCAAACATCACTTTGATTGATAGTTGTAAAATGAAAAAGAGACTAGGAAGTAAAAAAATAAATTAGAATATAAATCTTTCTTACTTCAGGATAATTTCAATATTGTGATTGTAGAATCATTATACACCAATTGAGATAATAGTTTACGTCTAATTAAATGCTTCGTATAAAAGATGATCCTGGATGTAATAAATTTATTAGTAAATAAAAATTGTAATGGTAAATGTAAAGCAATAAGTCCGAAGAAACTATATAGACTAAAACAACATAATCTAAAAGCAGTGAATATAAACTTACTTAGTCCACTAGTTCGAAATATTTCAAAAAAATTCGGAAGTAAACTACGATGTACAAAAACTATCTAAAAAAAGTTAGCAATGTTGATTATAAAATAAAGTCTACTATTGACTCAACTAAAACTAAAAACCGTAGTTTACACATATATGTACCTGAGGATAATCGGGCGATTTTAAGGAAAGAATAATGAACAAAAGTAATCATCTCGAGCTACCACGCTCACTCAATTGTTTAAAGAAGTATGATACAAAAGTATTATTCACGATCACGACCTATACTTTGAATACATTAACACTCTTTGTGTTTGAATGACCGATTATATGTCCAATCATGATAATGCGCAAGACGCATCGATATTTATTGAATTCAAGTGTCTAAGAAAAATAACACGTATCAATATCTATTTATTAAAGTGTTTGAAATCAAGACACATCTCCCGTCTAACTAGCGTCTAAATCAGACTTTAGACGGATACACCGCCTTGTAAGACGCATGGCATTTTTTAGAGTATACATTGGTTGCTATGTGCTGCCATTATGGTTGTGCTAACCCTCAGAATGGTGTTTTTCGTTATTGTGATTTCTTGATTGGTTGATGTTGATATCCAATTAAATTTTTTTCTTCGTCGTACTAGCTCGTCGCGTCGTGCTAGCTTCAAATCGATCATGTCAACTAGGATATTTTTATTATATAATCTGTTATTTTCACAATATAAGACAAACCTGAGATTGAACAAAAAATCTTTTTAATAAAGAGTTCCCAATATCGTTCGATAAAGAAGGTAATTAATGGATAAATGAAAATAGTTCAATCAAATAAAACTATTTAATTTTATTTTTCGTTCTGTTCGAGCGATAAGAAATGTACTATCCATTTGTTTTCCATTAATACCCAATAAATATCATCATGAAAGAAGAAAAACACCAATTGATAGTACTTTGTTTACTTAGAACAATAAGAATCTCTTTATATTTAAAGGAATATTATTAATTCATTGAGATTATCATTAATATCTATTTGCCTTTATCAATATCAAATCGATATATACCAGAGATGGGCAGCCCCGGTTGCCGGCTCCGACGAAAGTTGGTGAACCAGCGACCCAGGGCAGATTATACATACGTCGAATTTAACATCATTCGACGCAGAAATGTCTGCTCTTTCCAGCTATGTATTTAGCTTGGCATTTGTCTTCCCTTGAGAAGAGTATTCATTAAGAGAAAGTTGTTGAAGTCGGTAGTCGGAGCGGGAGCTGAGTTCGACCGGCTTTGACGACTTTGTTTCAACGAATACTCTTCTCAACGAAAGACAACAGTTAAGTTAAATACATAGGTGGAAAGAGCAAACATTTCTGCATCGAATGATGTTAAATTCGACGTATGTATAATCTGTCCTGGATCGCTGGTTCGCCAACTTTCGTCGGAGCCGGCAACCGGAGCTGTCCATCTCTGATATATACATATAGATTTTTTCTTTTGTTTTTATTTTCTTAAAAAAATAATTGATTAAGTTGTCGAAAATCTATCTTAGTCGTATATATATTGATATTAAAATTCATTTTAGGTTTTATTTCTAAAGAAGAAATTATCTTTCAAAACGATTTTTTTAAGATTCAGATTATTACTTTGTTGCATAAAAGTAATTAAAAACATTTTGTTAAAGAATAATAAAATAGAATTCGTTTTTATTAGACATGAATCAACAACAAGCATCATCAAATCAACATACAACATCAACATCAATTCAACAATCAACGTTATCATCACTTTCACATACAATATCTTCATCATCATCATTTCGATATACAACATTGTCATCATCTTCTACGAACGTAACCAAAACATCATCTGTTCTTTTCATCACGCAAAGACTTGTTGATATGACTATTGAACAAGGAAAATTGTTAAAACTTCTTGTTAAATCATCACAATCATCAAACGAAGTTATTTGGTATAAAAATGATGGTTTTAACAATACATATAATGAAACAAAGAAGTTGAATAACAACAACAAATATCATTTGATAACACAAAACAAAATTCATATTCTTATTATATCAAATGTAACAGTTGATGATGCAGGTGAATATATATGTCGAATAGAAAATGATCTAACACATGCACGAATACAAGTGATAGGTGCAGATTTAAATATTATTCCACAATTGCCACCATCATCAATTAATATATCAACATTATATGATGTTAAAGGATTTGAAGATGAATTAAAATTTATTGAATCATTACCTGATCGCATACATTTATATGAAAATGAACAATTAATATTATTATGTGAAATAAATCGTAAGCCGAAAAAAGTTCAGTGGTTTAAAGATGATTTGCATATGTCATTAGAACGTAATAATTCTTTGATAATTTATGACATTGATGAAATATCTATATTAATTATTAATAATGTTATTGAAACTTGTTCAGGACGATATACATGCTATATTGAAGATTTCATTAAAACTGTGTTTTATGTAGAAATAGAAGATACGATTTTACCCTTTATTGATCAATCATTAACTTGGATGCAACATATAAATGAACCAGTTGAAATAATTTATTTCAAATTAAATAAAGCAAATATCTTATTAAAATGGTTTCATCAAAATGAAAATAATATTCTTCCTCGATATTCAACACAATATTTATCATTATTAGATGTAAAAAAGAAAAACTTAAATAAATATTTCATATTATTAAAATTATTAAATCAAACACATCATTTTACATTTATTGATCTTAAGTCAATGATGATAACCAATAGTGGTCAAAACTCTATTATACGATCATTACCTTCAATTCAACAAAAACAAATAACAGAAGGTCAATTAAGTATTAGAATATATATGAAATATTTAATTTTTCTTGTTGATTTTAGGTGATACTTTAATTATTAAAATATTATTTCAAAATGATTTTCACTTATTACGCTAGTCAAACTTCTTGTGGTATGCGCATGAAAAACATGAGCTTCTGGAGTAAGAATGTCATGCGATACGGACACACCTTGAAGCAAGTCTTTGTGACATGTGATGCACTCAAGTACTTGACTTTCTTGTTCTTTTACTTACAATTCTTGATTTATGCGCTTGGCTCATTTTCAAGTGCGTATTATGCACTTGAATGTTATTAGATACTGTCTCTCTTCTCGCTGTTTTTCATTTTCTTGATACAGATGTCAGTAGGTTGCAGTGCTTGCATACAGATTATACATAGAAAATTTGAACGAAAAATTAGAACTTATGGTTGGATTGCATGACGACAGATATTAGATAGATCGAACTATTGTAGTTACCACAACAAGAACTAAAGAAACACAATGTTGAGAAGCAGTAATATTGGTGAGATTTAACAATGAAAAATTTTCATTTGTTCGAAATCAACAAAGACGAAAAATGTTAAGTGCAATAATAAACGAGATCTCAATTTATCAGTTGAATTTGCTATGAATATGTAGAACGTTTCGCTTTTTTCTCATGTAGATGGTGAAGATTTACTACCAACACTTATCCTAAATAGTATAGAACATACAGTTGCTTAGGCCTGATTTGCCTGTTCTCGGATGTCTAACTCATATGATCCTCATGCATCCAGCGTATAAAATGCATTTTATCCGTACATAACTCACGCAAGCGTTCAAGCGCTTCTCAATGGGAAGAAACTCATGCGCTATCGACACATCTTGAGAACTGTCTGAGTCAAGAACGGAAGAAAAAAAGTTCGTTTAGGGTATCAAAAGATGATTTTAGTTTATTAAAAAATGATTCTCGTGATATTATTTCAAAAAATAAAAACATATTATTAGAACCAAGTCAATGGATTATTCGTTTATCTGATATTGATTTAACTGATTTCGGTCTCTATTCAATTGAATTTAAAGAAAAAGCATTTCGGCAAGATTTATTTATTTTATCTGTAAAACCACGTTCTATACAACGTCAAATAATAACATTACGTAAAGATGAATTTTATTTAAACGAAACAATAGCATTTGAAGATAAATTTCAACGACCATTATATAGTAAAACTTATAGATCAACATGGTTTAAAAATGGTCTTCCGATTCAATCATCTAATCGCCATTTAATTATAACTGAAGGCACAACACAAGATCAATCAATAAAATATTCATTAAGAGTGTATGGGTGTGGGTGTTGATACACAGGACACAGATCCACACCTACCCACACCCACATCCACAACCACCCACATCCACACCCACCCACACCCACCCACACCCACATCCACAACCACCCACATCCACACCCACCCACACCCACACCCTAGTTTGTTATTTCAAGGGTTGGTGGAGCTTGAGCACGTGGTGTAGCGATACACGCTATTTGGTATTTGATGATATTCCCTGGGACGACTATGAGAAACTTAATTTTCCCAATAAGAAGGACTTATTGACTGCTAATGGTCGAGTTTCCGTAAGAGACCTTTCCTAAGTGTAAAAAAAAATGAAAAAAAGTAATGATTTTGTTTTTAATTAATTGAAGGTAAACTGGCAAATATCAGCCAACCGTGACAATAAACGTCACCATGCCATCGATTGTTTTACTCAATCCTGGTGATGAAGATTCATTAACATCAGAACTCGTCACCAAGAAACAAAAGCATGATGCTGACTACTGGACTCGACGAGCCGTAGTCTATCAAATGGGTAAAAGGCTATAACCTAAAAAGATTTAAAAAAAAAAAGATAACAGATAAAAAGAACGGTTTTGTGTTTTACATAATTGTAGGGTCCGATGAATATTTTCTTCAGGTTCAAGTTCCATCAGCGTCCAGTACATTAGACGCAACAACCGATGGTCAAACACGTCCATTTTTAGGTCATTCAAATGAATTCGAAGTTGCTCAACGACAATGGCTCGACGCAAATGAGCGTCATCGAGCAGCAGCAGCAGTAGTAGATGATTCATCATCTATGAATATCGAGGGTGATACCGATCAATCTGATTATGAAACATTTTAGATATGAGACGAATTAAATTCTTTCATTAATTGTTTTTTGTTTTCGATTTTTCTGTTTGTCTGTACGTTTGTTCGTATGTTTTTGTGTATGTGTATATTTGTGTGAACGTCTATGAAATTGATTTAGCCCTTGCTTTCGCTTTTTTTCACTTTCTTGTGCCTTTCTTTTCTTTTTTTTATTCTTTTGTGTCTCAGTGAGACTTATGTTGTTGTACTAAAATTCAATTGATGAAATAATTACTATGAGATGATTGAACTCTTACACACTATTTTTTTACTTACTATTGAATAATTGCATAAAATGAAAAATCGTTCTATGATGTTTAGATTAAAGAATGCAAATGAATTTCTCGTCTGTGCATGTCTTTTTCTTTTTAGCTATTATTGATCCAAGTAGAAGCGTTAACAAAAAATATTGCTAACTAAACAATAAAATTAGTTTGATAAGTAACATCTTACTGAAGGAAACATATCGAATCGAAACCACCTGTAGTGTATCAATAAAGTTTTTGGAAACATGTTAGTGTTGTCAAAAACTTTAACTCTATGGAAGCAAAGAGCCATGTGCACATTGAGATCGTTTTGAAAGAGATTACTTCGACAAATTTGGATCATTTTCTAGATCAAGCTGTAGTCATAAAACGAATCTATAGACAGAAGTTAAAACTAAACAATCAAATTTAAGATCCGAGAAGATTAACACACAAGCTTTTTCCAATTTCAACTGGTTGAGAGCATAATCTAGCACTGTCACAATTTCATATCGGTTGAGTTCTCGAAAACTTCTAATCCACTTCTAGTCTATATATATATCAATTTATTTAAGCAGTTCTTTCGTACTGATACAACATGATCGTGCTCAGTTCAGTAAGATTATGACATACTCTATTACACAGAAAGTGAATTGATGACGACTCTATAAACTGATTAATTGATCAATCTCAATGAAAAAAGTCGATTTCGCTCAAGAATTCTCCAAGAATTACGGCGATATTTCAGGCTTGTGGCATATAACATATTTCATACTGCCATGATGATGCACTCATCTTTGTTTTTTTTGCCGTGCAGAGCAATACTATTTTCGATGTTGCTTTTAACGTGATCGACGTTTTTTTCCTTAAACCCGCCGCCCCTCAGAATTGACTTGCCACTTAGGACCCCCGTTTGGGCTGAAATTTTCAGGAATGATTGGTCCTAGTGAGAAGCGCTTGTGATAAAAATTTCAGCTTGACATGCCCGACTAAATTGCAGTTTCGACCTGTTTTCCTACCTTCTAGGAGAATCGAAATAACTCAATCGTGAGAAGGAGTACAGAGCTTGGGCTGATTTCAAATTGGAGCTAGCCTCTGTATGCAACTTTTCATTGAACGAAATTTTGAAACTCCCTTCCATTCATTTTTTATAAGCATTTCTGTGAATATTGTTGCAAAATGAGCATAAAAAACTGCGACTCTACGACAGTAAATTTCATTTTTCTCAACCCCACGCTCAAGTATCGAAAATCCGTCTGGTGTAAAGTTAGCTCTGTTTAAAATCTGTAAAACAAAACAAAAAAGAAAAACATCGGTCATACGCCAAGTCAGGTGTGGGTGTGGGCCTGGATGTGAGTTTATGTCTTTTTCTCGCTCACACCCACATCAACATCCCACACTCACACCCACCCACCCACACCCACACCCCACACCCACACCCTCACTCACACCCCACACCCACCACCCACCCACCCACACCCTCCCCCACACCCACCCACACCCACCCACACCCACACCC